TCCTGGTCCTCCCCTTCCTCCTCCAGATTGCACCTCTTTATTGGATCCTTTCTGCCAGACCTCATGTCTGAGCTCTTGAATTCTCCTCTTTTGTTCTGTATGACCTCCTAACCATTTTTTTTGTACTCCATGGCTTTGGGTATCATGTCAGTGTCCACCTGCTCACTGGAGAGGTTGTCTGTGCTCATCAACCTATCATGGCTCTTCTCCTAGTTAACATGCCATAAACTCTACCTGCATAGCTCTCCATGGACTCTTTCCCTCTCAGGCATGGCTGAGATGATCGGCGGATCATGTTAGAAATCTTGACTTGCTCTTTTCTCCCCTAACTTGCTCTTTTCTTCACCAAATCCCTTGTAATCTATTGATTAACACTCAAAATTACTGCCTTGGCCACCACCTCATGTGAACCCACAATCTCTCTTAGTGGTCTGTAATGTTGTCCTGAGGGCCATCAAATTCCAGTCCCTCAATGTAATCCACATGAGCTTATCAAATGCGGTTGTCTATGTATAACAGTTACATTTTCACCATCGTAGTTCAGATACACAGAAACGTAACTTTATTTTAGTAAAGTTAGACTTAATCTCTACTGAATGCTCATTTCTACTGTCTACTATTGTTTTAAACAAACACTAGCTTCAATTCAGTTACAAGAATGGGAAACACTTGAAATCATTTGCTACATGATGGGACATATGTACGTACATGCGTCTTGATGGCTGCCTATATCGATCATTTTGTATAACCTGAGAATGATGTTATAAATATCCAGAAATTCCTTGGTAGAAAAAAGGTTCCCTCCCCTGTCTTAGTATCTGAAGAAATTTAGTCATTTTAGGTTTTTCTGACCTTCCCCTTTCTTTTCCTGAGGCCACATCTAAGTTGGTGGGACAGGGACTCTAGTAGTTTCTTGACATTAATGGAGAGAGGACATCTACTCTGTAGCTATTCTCTAACATTTACAGACTGGCTTGTTCTGTGCAGTCTCTGCTAGCTGGCATTGGTGGTGTTTGCCAACCTCCTCCCTTATGTCTGAGTCTGGGCTGTCAGGGCCACCTAGATTCTTTTTGTCTCCTGGCTGCTTCAGGCTCTTTCTTGGGTACTTTCTTGGGCATGCAGGATCTATTTTCCAGGTTAGCCTTGTACAAGCATGGTAGAAATAAATCTCTGCATATGTGCAAGGAAAAAAAGTCCTCCCTCCAAACCTTTAAACCTCTAAACCTGAAGGGTTAAGGAAATGTTTGGATTCCAAACTTCATGTCAGGTAAGAATTGATTTCTAGCGTATACATATAAAAGAAATGTCCCAAGACCTTTCCTTTTCTTTATTTTTGTGTGTGCCAGTATTGGGAGTTTGAACTCAGAGCTTGGGCACTGCCTTTAGTTTTTTTTCTCAAGGCTGGCAGTCCCTCACCTGAGCCAAATCTCCCCTTATGGTTTTTTTTTTTTTTTTTTCTGTTGGTTGTGGGGCCTGAACTCTGGGCCTGGCCATTGTCCTTCAGCTCTTCAGCTCAAGGCTAGCACTCTACTACTTGAGCCACAGTATCCCTTCCAACTTTTTCTGCTTATGTGGTACTGAGGAATCGAACCCAGGGCCTCATGCATGCAAGGCAAGCACTCTACCACTGAGCCACCTTCCCAGCCCTGTTTTTTTTTGTTAATTGGAGATAAGAGTCTCATGGACTTCCTTGCCTGGGCTGGGCTTGGAACTGCAGTCCTCGGATCTCAGCCTCTGAGTAGTTAGGATTGCAGGTGTGAGTGACTGACACCCAGTGATTTCTGCTCTTTCATACAAAAAAAATACAAATTGGAGCATAAATAATTTGATCTTCTAGTATAATTCTGCTGCTTTTCAGTTGTATCCAGAGAACGTAAAAATGGTAGTCAGGTTAGCACACTTCCACCTCCTCCACTTCCTTCCTAGGACATTGCCTCCAACTTCCACCTTGCTTTCTCCTGTGAGGATTAGGACAATCAGCTGGCAGAGGTGTCCTGTATCCCCTCCCACAGGCAACCCCCTACCCACACTCACCTGAGCAGCCACATCACCAGCCATGAGCTCTGCGGCCCCTGTCTCCCAACTGCCTTAGCCCTGCCTTCAGGGCTAAGATAGGTGTTGGGAGCTGCCAACCTAATAGGACTTTGGGCTCTGACTTGGTAGACTTGACTAGAACCAGAGAAAAGGAGAGTAGCCAGGGACTTCTGGACTACCCAACAGTTCCCTCTTTAATCTACTCCTTCTTCTTTTTTTAAAATTAGTTTATTATAAAGATGCCATACAGAGGGATTGCAGTTACATGAGTAAGGTAATGAGTAGATTTTTTGTTGAGCATTGTTACCTCCTTCTTCTTTTTCTCCTACTGTCCCTTCCCTCTCCCTCCTCCCCCCCAACTACCTTTCTTATTCACACACACACACACACAACAAACACACACACACACACACACACTGCACCTCAGTTTTTGAATAATTTAGTAGGATAACCGATAACACACACACACACACACACACACACACACACACACACACACACACACACACACATGCACACACGAAGGTATTTTCCTGCTTTCTCAAGTCAATTAGTCCAACCACCAAGCTCATTTTAGGATTTTCTTGCCTCAAGACATTTGAGCAAGAAGAAATCAGAAGCTGCAGGAGGTCAGCCACGCTTCCTATTCTTGCTATAAGCCACACATAACAGAAATGGCTGCAGTTATCCCAGAATGAGAGCAGAGGGCCTCCAAGAAATGGGGAAAAGAAAACCTGATTCTCCCAGGAGAGTCACACAGAGGTGAGCTGGGCCTCGTGTGCCAGCACTCTCCATAGCAGCCTGTGGGAGGTGATAAGGCTTGTAGAGAGGAGGCTACCTGGAGCATGTGGGGACAAGGTGAGACCTCTGGGCTGTCTCAAGGTATAGAAGCAGCAGACTCTCCCAAGGTGAAGGTGGTGAAGGAAGTTGTGGGGATGATGAGTGTTCAGTAGTAATATTGTAGGGTAAATGACTCCGGCCTACAGTTCTATCTGATCCTTCAGTGGAATTTATGACCTCAGGGGTCTTTGCATAGCCCTGGAGACTTGGGAACTTACTAAGACTGATTCCCACCAGTTTCAATGGGATAGATTGTAACTGAGGCTGATAAGACAATTTAATCAGGTTATTTCATGTGTACCCGGGGCTTGTAAATCTGAGCTCTATACTTTGCATACTCTATATTCAAGATTACAAATGTTGACCAAGAAATAGAAATATTTCACATTTTCTTTCTTTTGTTAAACCTCAGCATCGTCTCTAACCTACCTTTTCTTATTCTCTTCTGAAGTTCTAGTTAAAATGTGCAAAAGTGGGAGAGGTGAGGGGAAGAGGAAAAACCAGGCGAATAGTGTCAGAGAAGATAGGAAGTAGGTTGAACATTCTGGAAAACTGTGCTTCTGCTTATAAGAAATAGAACAAAGATATCCCCCCTCCCCATCCCAAGATAGAACACACTCATCTCAAATCTGTCACAGAATACAGGTGGGGAACAAATATTGGGTATTTTCTTCCTATTGAGAAGCTTCTGGATCTACTGACTTTTACCTGAGAGGTCTTGTGGAGAAGAGACCAGTCTATTAATTGGTTTTTGGTGATAGACACCCAGATAAAGTGGCTTCAGTTGCTGCGATAAAATCATTTCATTCAAATTTTTCTGCAGAATGAAATACTCTTCAGATAACTTTGATATCTAAAAAGAAGGTCATGTGTCAGATTAAAGCAGGAAAAAGAAGTCCCAAGGCTCTAAGTGTAACCCAAGGGTTTGATCTATTCTTTAACAAAACTCTTTAGGACTCTCATGTTTTGTTCAGAACTCATCATGATTCTTTTCCCCCAGGTCTGATAAAAACCATCATTTGACATAACCTTTCTCTTTGTCATTAAAAACTACCAAACCCATCCTGCTCCATACAGCACTCCATTCCTGTGGCTCCTGTACTTACATTCTACTGTAGCTACCTTCAGGAGCTCTTCTGCTGCCTTTGACTATGATAAGTCTTCCTCTGTTCTTTCAAAGTCTTCTTAGCCTGACTTCAGTGCTACTGTGCTGAGTCTTCTCCTGAATGCCCTCTCCACTTCTGTCTGGCCTGCATTGCAGCCCTGATCTGGCTCTTTTGCTACAAGGAGTGTGTCTCCACACCCACAGTCTTTCCTGCCAGCTCTCTGAGCATAGCTTGGTTTTGCTAGTTCTCCTCAGTGTCTCAGTTGCATAGAGGGATTTAGAACAGGCTGTGTGTTCTAATCCCTGATTTTCTTTTCTACTTTTTTTTTGGAGTGAGCAACTTTAGCCACTGAGGAAAAGAAGAATTGACAGTATGCAAAACTCACTATTTCCACGTTTGTCCTTTATGATATTCATTGTTCATGATTATCTATCATCTTGAGACTTTTGTTTTCATCGAATATGCCTCTCCCTATAGCTACATACCTACTTTTCATATTTTATTGTACATTTTTCAACTAAAGTTGGAGGGCAGAGAGAAAGTGTAGGCTTTAGGGTAATTAGAAAACCTAATTTTTCAAAAAGCAGTAACAAAAGATTTCAGAGATATCAGAAACTTTGGCACCATCCAACACCAACATTTAGTAAGGCATATAACTAATTTTTAATATCCTTACTATATGAGATTTAGATCATATTTTATTCTATATTTCTCATAGTAAATTGGCATGAAAGTTCATGGCTGTTTGAATAGCACATTCCTTCAGACATATGTCTGGTAAACACAGATGAAACAGCACATCAGTTATTCATTAGCCATCTGTTAAGCTATTGGGTAGTTTCCAAAGATTTGTGCTAGTCGAGAGATTTTGCTTATTTACATACCTGTTTGGAAAACGTTGCCAATTCATGCACTTCTTTCTCTGAAGTTGTTTTTGAATCTCCATCCTTCTTCACCTTGATATTTTGGGTTTCTTCATGTATTGTGAGACAGGAATGCATGTTTTTGTGATGTTTTTTGTTACTTCTGCTGGTGTGTTGCAAGAATCTTTTCACTTTGAGAGGTAGGCAACATCCTGTCACCTCTCAGTTGCTGCCTTAGCTTGGAACCCCGGTATTGGTTCTGTATATACACCTCAGCTTTATCTTCTTCTTCTTCTTGGGCCTGCATTCCGGATTCAACATGCCTTTCCTCCAGCATCCTGTGCTGCTGCTGATCTCTGGCCTGGCTGCACAGCAGTGCATTCTGGGTAACCACAGATGTCTTCTCTTTTCCCTGGCTATCTGTACTGGTGATAAACTGGACTTTGGCTAAGAGCAGGTTCCACAGCTTTTCTCAAAGAAGTCTCTCTCTCAGTGAAACAAAACCGTGGATAGCTTGGCCTTTTGGACACGCCTTTCCTTTCTGGATATAATGTTTTTGATTCCTTACAATTCCTTTCTTCTGTGTACCTCTGATAGCAGCTCTGGGATCCTCATGTCCTCCTTCTGTCCTTTCTTTATCTTACTGTTCTCTTCCAGGTCTTTGACATACTTCTCTTTGGGGCTGACTTCTGCCCAAACATCCCTCATGAGATACAGCTCTTGAGTAGCTTCTTCTCCATACGAATTATTGATTTTCTTCTGACTTTGATATCCTTTCTCATTGCTCTTCACAGTATGGATGGCTGCCCTTTTGGTCTTGGAGGCAGAAGTCTTCCGCTCCAGATAGATTCCCTTTATTATTTGCAGCTGGAATGACGAGTTCTTTACTTGACACTGCAGTTTCTGTTTGTTTCTCATAAAAGATGTCCTGTGCAAAACATATTGTATCTGAATATAGGGCAACAACTAGACTAGAGCAGATTATGTCTCTTGGCAAGAGCTTTATGCTACTTAATGTTGGGAGCAAAGCAAAAGGGGAACAAAGAATGCTCTAAGGAAAAACGTATCAAGTTGTGTTCAGCAAGTGCTTGCCAACATGTTCTGTCTCCTACAACTTGGGGTGGCTAATCATCTCATGAGATTTCCAGTTCCAACTTAAGAGGTGAGAAACTGGCTAACATGTGAACAACCATATTCCAGGTAAGAAGGCACCTTTTGGTGCCTTCAGAATTTCAAGATACTCTGAAAGTATCTGAAAATTGCATAAACAATCTCAGTCAATAAGGGGTTGAGAGAAACAGGTTTTGTTGGAAGGGGGATATTATTAAGAGGGAATGAGGCTAATAAGGATGGAAATGGACCATTGGCAAGTATGAAAAAAGAACAATGAAAGTTCTTGAAACTGTATTAGGAAGCCGGGAGGTAGGTAAGAGAGAGGGTAGTGTGGATTGATTAGAAAACATTGTATCTTTGCATGGAAATATCATGATAAAATCTAATCCACCCTGTGTAGCTAACATATGATAATAAAAAGAAATAGAATACATCTTTTTTTTTTCAAAGAAAACACCTAGCCTTGAGATGTTTGGGGAAATAAATCCTTTTGGTATCAGTAAGCAAGGGCGTGCCACTAAAGCTCATAGACTGTACTTCAATAAGTACTAAGTTTATTGATCATATGAAATATCTTGTAAAATTAAAATTAAAGCTATGTCCTTGACACAGTCCGTGACCATGAAATTTAATACCCTGGTCCAAATTTCACAGTTGCTAGTTTGCCAATATCCTTCCCCCAAGTGATCTCTCCTTAACTTGAAGATAAGGAGATGAGATTTGCTCTTCTATTTTTATTTTTCCAGATAAGAACAAAATCCTCAGGAGGGCAACACTACCAGGCAAAGGGTGTTCAGGTGGAGTGTAAAAAGCCACAATTGGGGCTGGGAATGTGGCTTAGTGGAGAGTGCTTGCCTTGCATGCATGAAGCCCTGGGTTCGATTCCTCAGTACCACATAAGCAGGAAAAAAAAAAGCCAGAAGTGGTGCTGTGGCTCAAGTGGTAGAGTGATAGCCTTGAGCAAAAGAAGCTCAGGAACAGTGCCCAGGCCCTGAGTTCAAGCCCCAGGACTAGAAATAAAAAAGCTACAACCTGATATTCTAATGGTGTCTCTTCCTGTTACTTGGTGGGAAGGGGAGGAGGAGGGATTTTGCCTGATTAGCCTGGCCCAGGAGCACAGGCAAGTGGTTTTGTTTTTTTGGTTTTACAATCTATGAAGAAGGATTCTTCCTTGAATTAAATTTGGAAAAATCTGGAGTGAGACCCCATTTTCTTTTCCTTCCTTCCTTCCTTCTTTCCTTCCTCTCTCTCTCTCTCTTTCTTTCTTTCTCTCTCTCACTCTCTCTCACATCTTTCTTTCTCTCTTCTCTTCTTTCTTTCTTTCTTTCTTTCTTTCTTTCTTTCTTTCTTTCTTTCTTTCTTTCTTTCTTTCTTTCTTTCTTCTCTTCCTTCCTTCCTCTTCCTTCTTTCTTTCTTTCTTTCTTTCTTTCTTTCTTTCTTTCTTTCTTTCTTTCTTTCTTCTTCCTTCCTTCTTCCTTTCTCTATTTCTTTCTCTCTCTTTCTCTTTCATTCTCTCTCTTTCTCCCTTTCTTTCTTTCTTTCTT